GCTCGGCCTTTGCTGGCCGCGGAGCCGACCACGGAGCCACAGCGCGGACTCGGGCAAGGGGGCGCCCGAGGCTGCGGGCAGAGGGAGGGCCTCCGGCGCCGCTAGCCTGGTACGTACCGACGGGGTGCCCGGGCCGGGGTCGCCCGCCGGCGCTTGCGTCTGTGCGCTTTACACCCCTTGTGCCGGTCAGAGGTTAGGAGCAGAGATCGGGCGGATTCCCGGGGCTCCCACCAGACGCGCTGCCATCTGGTTGGTGCCCCTCGTCTCCGTGGTCCGCTCTATCCTTTCACCCCTCTTCTTACTTAAAGACCGTGATGTCCTAGACGCGAATTCCCACCTTTTAGAATAAGGCAGTGAGAATCTTCCGAAAGTTGTGTGATCAGTCCTTTCTGTTGGCGGGTACAGGTTGGTTTCCCTAACTTTGAGAGGAGGCAGATGAGTGAAATCAGTTCCCTGTAACTTAAAGGTGCTTTGGTGTCTGATTACAGAGAAAGAATTAAGAGAACGCGATTTTTGAGAGAGGGGAACGGAGTATATGTGTCCATTTACCTCTTTCTCTACCTGTTGAGACGCTGTCCTGGCAGGAGTGTGGCGAGCGACCTTTTGATGTCATGTTAGCAAGACTCCTGCAATTATTACATCCTCCATTGTTAGGTCTTCAGCCGCCCCCCCGACTGCTGTCATCAGATGGACAGCATGGGTTGAGGTGGCCGCATCCCGGCGGGGGTCTCAACGCCACTAAAAGCTACAAGCATGTGGCCCTGGGAGTGAGTGCTGGCTGTCCCGAGGTCTCCACATCCCGACAGAAGTCCTTGCCAGGCGCCAGGAGTTTTGGTCGAGTATGCCCCAGGTTATATGGTTGAGTAAATCAGAGATTTTAATTTTAATTTAGATAATTCTAGTTTTTACCTTTCAATTAATTTTCATTTTGAAACATTGACACATTTAACAAGTAGCCACTACGGAGGTTATTTTGTGACAGAGATGTTTTACCTGGAGCTAAAAATAAGAACCTCTTTAACCATTTCATCAGCCCTTCTTCCTTTTTCTTTTTTTAAAAAATTTTATTTTATTATTTTTTTGTGTGTATACCGACAAGTCGGATCTGACTGGTAGAGGAGGAGATTGCCTCACCTACTCCAGCAGAGCATCTGGTGGATTCGAACCGCGAACCTATGGGATTGCAGTGCAGCTTATTGCCACCAGAGCCCTCTTCAGCTCTTTTTCTTAATTCATCAAGTTGATATGATCAGTGTGCAACTTTTGATTTTAATTTTACCCCAGGATGGCCCTGACAATCACGGAATTGGCTAGATAGCCTCCAGTTTATTCAGGCCTTTTTAGTCTCCTGGCGTTCCCTATCAGTTGCTCTACTTTGAATCCGTTTCTTGCTTATTTGGAGTTTGGTCAACAAAATTATCATCTTTCTCGCCCCTGCCCCATCTCTGAAAACACTCTGACCTTTGAACTTGAATTTGGAACAAATTCCAAGGTTGTTTCCATTTACTTGTATAATGTCTTCTGCTTTCAATGAGAGACCCTAAGTAGAGGTTTGTTGCCTTGCTGTTTGTTTGGTGAGTGTTCTTTCAAGAGTTGTACATTTATGTGTCACTTTCAGTCTTTATGCCAACTGACCCCAAAACTCACCGCCCCCAATATCCCTGCAAACTGAGTTCAGTGTTTTGTGCCAAATAGTATTTATAACACAGTTTACATCTTTAGGGAAAGCTTTTTCTTACAGAATGGGCCTTTAAAAATTTCAAAGATGTTCTTACAAAGAGAAGTGGACTAATTTTGTTTTAACCAGTATTAAAGGGCAGGCAGTGTGGTTACTGATTAAAGGGGAGGTTACTTGGAGTCAGTTCTCATTAGGAGAAAGTCTCGTGGGGTGCAAGTGGCAGCCTTGACTCAGTGGAGGAAAAAATCCAGGCATTAAGCAAAGACGTTTTGGTGCCATTTTGTTTCCTGTTGTGCAGTGTCTTCTCTCCTCTGATGTGTTTGAAAGTTGAAGGGGCCTCTCGGGAGACATTTGCAAGGGAAGTTTGTTTTTCAGAGCAGCTGCCACACAGCCTTTTGTTAGTGCCAATTTTCAGCAGCTTCACTTGACAGCAGTGAGTTGAGTTGTTGGCTCCAAATGAAGTTTCCAGGGATCATAAAACACCCCAGGGGATTGTGAAAGCTGTGGGCTCCCAGCCAGTGGGGGGCTTAACATTATTCTTTGTCTGTTTAAAATAGATTTCTGAAACTTCTCTTTGTTTCCCAGAAATCTTTATCCCTAAGCCTCTCTTCATTGGCTTTTAAAAACCATACTCCAATTTAGCAGTGAGGTTAGAGAATTTGAGCACTTTTGTCTATTCGTGTGTGTATATGTGTGTGTGTGTTGATACATAGATAGATAGAAAGATACACACACATACACACTATGTGTGTGTGTGTATATATATATGTGTGTGTCTGTCTGTCTATCTATCTATATGTATATATATGTTGTTGTTAAGTGCCGTTGAGTCGCAGGCGACTCATAGAGACTCTTATGAAGGAGAGTCCTCTAGCTTGGGTGCCTTTCATCCTCTCTCCAGGTTCATAGGGTTTCTGGAGGCAAGCTGTTATGGAAGTGAATGCCTCTCCTCCTTCCAAACTTGTTTTAATTGGGGAGCTCCACCCCACTCTCTGTCCACACTGGGTAGCCAATCATTAACGCATTTGACACATCAGTGTCATGGTGTTCAGCCTCACAGCAACCAAAAGTGAACGAGGTACGGCAACTTGTATACCAGGGCTATACGACCTAGAGGAATGTCTGAACAAAAACAATGAAAGACAGGCCCGAGGGCATAGGTATATATATGTGTGTGTATATATAAAGTTGTTGTTATGTCTTCGAGTCGCTTGTGACTCATAGCGACCCTATCTATGTACAACAGCCCTAAACTCTGCTCTGTCCTGTGCCAATCGCACTGCCTCTGGCACACCCATCCCAATTACCCCAGTCACTGAATCAGTTCACCTCATAGAGGGCCTTCCCCTCCTGCGCTGTCACTCCACCCTCCCAAGCATGATGTCCCTCTTCAAGGACTTGTCCCTTCTTACAACATGTCCAAAGTATGTCAGATGGAGCCTCAGAATCCTTTCCTCCAAGGAGCAGCCCAGCTTAACCCTCTCCAGGATGAATCTTTGTTTTCCTAGCAGTCCATGGTACTCTCAAATACTCTTCTCCAGCACCACAGCTCAAAGGCATCAGTTCTCCTTCTGTCCTCCATAGTCATTGTCCAACTCTGTGATGCATAACAAGTGATAGCAAAGACCGTGGCCTGTATCAGACGCACCTTAGTCTCCAGAGAGACACCATTGCTCTTCAGTACTTTGGAGAGGTCCCTAACAGTAGACTAGACTTTCCCATGGAAATACGTCTTTCAATTTCCTGGCTACTGGTGCCAAGAGTGTTGACTGTGGAGCCAAGCAAGCAAGCAATCTCAATCTCTCTCTCTCTCTCCCCCTCTCCCTCCCTCCCTCCCTCCCTCTCTCCCTCTCTCCCTCTCTCCCTCTCTCCCTCCCTCCCTCCCTCTCTCTTTCTTCCTTTCTTTCAGCATTTCCTTGATGCTTGTATGTAGGACATAAAGGAAGATATTTGCATTAAATCTCTTAAGTCAAAATGCCTAGAATTGATAGTGGGCTACTAACCAAAAGGCTGACAGTTCAAATCTACCAACTTCTCATAGGAGAAAAAGGAGATCTGGTGGCTTTGTGATAAAGAATTGTGCTGCCAACATGAAAGTACGTGGTTTGAATCCAGCAATTGCTCCTCAGGAGAAAGACGAGCAGCTTCTTCCCACGCAATAGTTTCTGCAGTCTTGCTGGAGGGTCAGCTGTGAGTCAATTCCGACTTGATGGCACACACAACGGACTAGTCTTAAATGATGCAAAAGATCTTCCTGAGATTTCTTTCTTAAAAGCAGTGTTGTTAGTAAGATTCTGAATTCTCAGGATGAAGTCGTATATTGACGGCCTGATTTATATAGTAGGTAAAACATGTTTATATCTTTTGGGAAAAATATTTAAATATAGTAGACAACTTTCTATGTTGACTACTTAATACATCTTCATCTTTATTTTGTTAAAGACAATTTGAGAGAAATGTGTGTAAAAAGAATATTGCAAAAATAATAAAAGCTCCATAGAAAGTAATACATTTAGAGTCTGTGTAGCTCTTGATCCTTACACTAATGAAATGTACTCTTCCAATGCACGCGGCTATTTAAGGGATGCGGTTTTAGTATTTAAACTTGGTTGTCTTTGTATTTCAGTATGAAAACCCATGGACAATCCCCAATATGTTGTCAATGACGAGAATTGGCCTGGCCCCGGTTCTGGGCTACTTGATTATTGAAGAAGATTTCAATATTGCATTAGGAGTTTTTGCTTTAGCTGGTCTAACTGATTTGGTAAGTTGTGAATACGCCCCTTGTTTTGTACACACCCCTCTGGATCCCAGTGTCTGCCACTGTGGTGCATTAGCCCAGCCGTGATCTGGTTTCTTTGGATGGAAATTCTCATGATGGGTTTAACCTGGTACTTTGTTTGACAACTTGACTTTAGCATCTGTATGGGACTTTATATAATCTTAGGAGAAAGATGAAGATTTTAAAGGAGGAAGACATAGGAAGGAGGTTTTTCCTCCCCTTTGGTGCCCCCCTCAAGCCTCAGAAATCTTGAATGAACTGAATGCTTGCTTTAGCAATAGAAGTAAGAGCCCTGGACAGCAGTTTTCTGTTTATTGTGAGCTAGGGTAGAGAGAATGATTCTGATCTGAAATGACACTTGATTTTACTGATGGAGAGAGAAAACGTGGAACAGTTGTAATTCAAGGAAGAAAGGATTTGACCAGGAATTTTTGTGGAGGACAGAACTCATGTCAGGGTTAAGCTCACAGGAGGCACTTGACACTCCAGGATTAAATTCTTGACCCCTGCACCACTCCCCAATAGCCGCCCTGCAGAAGACCTTGGGTAGGAGTAAGCATTGGATTTCCTTCCTCTACCTATTATCTTGTTCTTATTATGTGTGTCGATTTGCCTTAACTCATAGTGACCCCCATGTACAACAGCCCTAAACTCTGCTCTATCCTGTGCCAATCTCACTGTCTCCGACACACCCACCCAAACTACCCTAGTCACTGAATCAATCCACCTCATAGAGGGTCTTCCCCTCCTGCACCGTCTTTCCACCCACCCAAGCATGATGTCCTTCTCCAACGACTGGTCCCTCCTTGCAACACATCTAAATTATGTCAGATGAAGCTGCAGAATCCTTGCTCCCAAGGAGCAGCCTGGGTTCACCCTCTCTAGGACGAACTTGTTTGTTTTCCTAGCAGTCCATGGTATATTCAGTACTCTTCTCCAACACCACAGCTCAAAGGCATCAATTCTCCTATCCTCCCTAGTAATTTTAGTCCTACTGTCTTAGCAGATGGAAAAAAGGAAAAGAGAGCTCCAGGACACATCTGTGTTTTTTATAGTAGATTATTAAAAATATCTCAGATTATAATTTATGGGTTCAATTTTTTGGACAGAACAGAAAACTCCATCTTGTATAACATTTGTTTTATTGTTCACCTTGTTTTGGAGGGTTTAGAAGTAGCTTACAAAGGTACACACTCTGACAGAATAGAGTGGAGAGAAGTGGTGTGTGAATAAGAGAAAAACATGTAAAATCTCGTAGGCAGAATTAACAAGTAGGAAGACATGAAGTGTAGTCTTGGGCAGGGCTGACCCGAGATAAATGTAAGCACCCAGACAGCACAGAATTTGACCCTCCTTCAAAGGATGCATGTTTTAAAAGCTTCGTTCAGAATCTGTTTAGTGAGAATAGAATCAAATAATTTTTCTATTCATGAAAGTTGGATAGTATCTTTGTAATATTACCTGTTTTCCTGTTTGCTTTGAGGTTCACAGAAGCAAAATTCTACTTGCCCAGTAGCACTGGTGAGCAATTTAGAATTAATGGAAGATTTTGAGGGTAACAAAAGAGTGCTTTTGTCTCATTCTGTGACAGGTAGCTCCTTTTGGTCACCACGTTTCCCCGTTCTTAACAATCTTTCTTTTGTCTCAGCTTTTATCTCTGAAACCTAATAGAGTCTCCAGATCTATCAGAGGCCATTTTACTGAGAGAGGGGTGTGTGTGGGCGCGTGCACGCGCATGTATGTCTTTATGTCTGTATTAGCATAACAGACAAGATCTTTTCCAGCTGCTGGACTCAATCCCTTTAACTGCCACGCAAGATTGCAGTATTCCCTCAGATGGGAATGAGTACTCATTAATATTTTTTTAATCATTTAAGATAGTGTGTATGGACTCTTCACAGGTATGTTCTGTATGTATGCTGTAGAGTTTTCAATGGCTAAACTGGTCACTGGGTGACTAGCCAACTCATCAGAGGGCATTATTATGATCTGATTTGTATTGTTTGTAGGAATTGGATAGTAGAAAGGCAAGCGTGGAGGTGCAGAGACTGATAGGAGGCTTCCTGTAGTCTGGGAACCCTCAGTGATGCTAGCCTGGACTGTGATGATAGTTTGAAGTTGGAAAGAAGTGGATAGGGCAAGGGTGTATTTTAGAAATAGTGTTGACGTGTGTGGATGGGCTATGGAGGCAAGACAAAGCACGAGCGCTGGGCTCTTTTTCAACAACCAGATGTGTAGATACAACATTTTTTTCTAGTGTTTTTTTTTAATAAAGTTGGGGGATAACAATGTTGTTTCTCTACATCAAGGTACCAAATGGGCAGTGAATAAGTAGTTTGGAGTTAGAGGACGTCCTTGTGAGAGAGAGGTGTGAAACTTAGTGGATAGTTTGTCCAGTGCGTCTGAGAAATCATCTTGGCTGTGGTGAAAGAAGAGAGGGGCTCAGGGAAGTGAGAAAAAGACCAGTAAGAACTGGAAAGGATCAACCAGTGAGGAGGGCAGAAAATGAATCAGCAGTGGAAGAGAAAGAAGATGCAGCTAATCGCCTCCATGAACCGTGAGATGCAAACAACTGGATCACGCCCTGTTACCAAGACTGCACATTTTTAGTAAACATTTTACTTAGGGGTCCTAATTAACATGGCAAATGTAGACTAGACTTTAAAATTCTTGTAGGCTTTTTAGAGTCCTGGAGGCTCTATGAACCCCTGGGACTATTATGTGGAGATTATCTTTAAGCCTTAAGTAAAAAATATCACCTGGTAGTCTTTGGAAAATCACACAGTAGTTCTGCTTAACTAGGAAAAATATCTTTTAATGTCCTTTTAAGAACTAGATATGATCAGTGTCTCTAAATTGATAAATACAGTAGAAACTTGCATTGTTAGATCTTTCCATTTGTATTTGCAAGAACAACAATATTATTTGGAAAAAAAAACTTGATTCTGTGGGTGCCTCACAATGTAAGATGGCTTTAAGAATCCTTCAGCAATATATGTTTATGTCTCTTCTTTGAAGGAGACTTCCGGCCATGGAAAATAAAAACTAGCAGAACTGGAAAGAAAATAGACAAAATCATCACTGAGAGTAGAAGGTTTGGGAGTTGTTTGAAAAGAGCTCCTCCACTACTTAGGGCCCCGGAGTCGTCCCGATTTGTAGTGAGCCTCCGTCGGGTTTCCACGTCTGTCAGTCTTTTACGGGAAGAGCCTGCCCGTTTTTCTCCCTTTGAATGGCTGCTGGATTTGAACTGCCTCCGTTTTGTGTAACAGCCTTTGCGACCAGAGTTCGCCCTGGCCATTTCATAGAAGCTGTGATTTCCAGCCCGTGTGTGTGTGTGTGTGTGTGTGTCTGTGTCTGTAGCAATGTTCAGTTGTTTGAGAGCGGGCCTAGGGTAGAAAGATCTGCATTTAACCAGTGTTGAAATCTAGTTGAGGGAGCTACAGGGGTTTGCAAAGCAGGAACGATGTTGATAGCCCTAGAGTGTGACGTAGATTCGAGATGGATAGTGTAGAAATGAGTGGTAATTGTGAAAATGTAGAAATGGAGGGTGGGAAGTCTCCTCCCATGCCATTAACTGCCTCTGACAACCTGCTAGAGGCTCAGCTATGAGTCGGTTCCAACTTGACAGGACACAAAAACAACAATGGTGAAAAAATGAGGTTAAGTTTCCTGTAATCAGAAGCAGAACTGAGATGATCTATCAAGGATATTTCAGTGCCCAGTTCTGGCCACTCTGTTAACTGTTATCTGACAGTTTAAGAAAATGCTTCTGTATATTGTGATAGAAATAGGTAGTAGTAACTCACTTTGCAGCGTGTTGATCACTGAAAAGTATTAAGCACACTTCACTCTGACAACAAACCAGTACTTTGGGGTAGCTAATGTTTTCTCTGGTTTACCAGTAGGGAATCTGTGGCTCAGCGTGATTAGAGATTGCTTAAGATAACACATTTTAATAGCAGAGCCAGAACTTGAACCCAGTTCCATTCAGCTTCAGAGACCATGGTTATAACCCCTGTCCCATGATACTGCTGTCTCAAGTATTGGAGTACTTGAGATATAGAGAACCTATTCACCTTTTAAAGTGTATCATGTTTAATTGCTTCTAAATTAATTTTTCCCCATGGAAATAGGAGTAGAAAACATCTCATATTTATTGAGACTGACTAATCAGAAAAAGATTGGACATCTACTTCCAAATGAACAGAACTTCGGAAATTTTACGTACAACACTTAGAGCAGGCCAACAGATACGGCACCTGAGGCCGAGCCCTCAAATTTAGCTCACATTTGTTGGTCATGTGGCCAGGAGGGACCAGTCCTTGGAGAAGGGCATCATGCTTGTAAGAATGGAGGTGCAGTGAAAGAGAGGAAGACCCCGAAGAGAGAGATTGACTCACTGACTAGGGTAATTGGGGCTAGGTGTCAAGAATGGGTGAGACTGGCTCAGGACAGCACAGGCTTCAGAGCTGTTGTACACAGGGCTTCTGTGAGTCTCAGGCAACTCAGCAGTGCATAACAGCAACCCAGAAAATGTCCTCCTGCCTTGTGTGGTGCGGTTAGGCGTTACTTAGGCCCAATATTTTGTGATCCCAGGTGGCTTGGTTTTTCTGTTTCTCAAATTAGGCTAAAAATCTAGATATTCATGGGGAAACTTTGAATGAAAAGCTCTTGACAAGTTACCCCAAACTAGTCTGTACGTGGGTCCCGTTTGGCTTAGAGACGTCCCTTGGGTAACTATGGCATCTGCTTTAAAATAGGATTTGTTTCCAAGCTTAGTGAATAATTAAGTATAAAAATTTTACCTACGCTAAATGCAGTGAATGAAGTTTTTTGCTCAAATGCAGGGCAAGCAAATGTGACCTGAACATAAAATGAGCAGTGATAGTTCACAAGCGTAACTAAAAAGTTGAAAATGACAGTAGAACTTCGAGCGTTGGATCCCGTTTTGGAGAAGCTGTTGGCAGTGGCCCTGGAGCCTGTTCTGACCCAGGGAGCCCTGTGTGTGCAGGCGAGGACTTCTGCTCCACAGCACCCTCTTGGCCTGTCTTCTGGACTCCTCTAGATGGAGTTAAACTGCCGACCTCCAGCTCGTAGTTGAGATCTTACTGTATGGCTACCCAGGGACGTGCCAGTAATACCTGTTGCTGTTGAGTGGATTCTGACTCTTGGTGACCTAACAGGACAGACTAGAACTGCCCCATCCAGGTTTCCAAGACTCTAGTACCTTTAACACACAAGCTGCCCCATCTTCCACTCCTAGAGCAGCTGACTGATTGAAACCACTGACCTTTGAGTTGGCAGTTGGGTGCACTTCACCACTGTACCAGCTGAGTTTCTTGAAAAATACACAAAGGGTTATGAAATTGTCTCACAGTTAAAATGGTTGTCCTTGCAAATAAAAGGAGCTTATTTAGAATAGTCACGGTGTGAAGACAGGCACCTAGGCCAGGTTCTGTCAGTCTTGCCTAGTTTTAGATGGACTCTTTACATCTCTGAAATGTGTTTGGGTTTCTCTCACAATAGGGTATTGTGAAAAATAATGAGAAATAACAGGAAGGCTGTGAGAAAGAAAAGTACTATTGAAATGTGAGCTTATTTTCATCCCTTAAGTTTGAAACTAACAAAATTGTTAGAAGTTAAATATGTACCAGTGGAAAAATGAGAGTGTTTGGGTGTAAGAAATGAGATTTTATTAACATTTTATAAAACTAGTGATTATTTTTAAACTTCAAGATAATCTAGTCTGTACCTATTATGACATTTATTTTTTTAAAAACCTTCTCTTTTCAGTTGGATGGATTTATTGCTCGAAACTGGGCCAATCAAAAATCAGCTTTGGGAAGTGCTCTTGATCCACTTGCTGATAAAATACTTATCAGTATCTTGTATGTTAGCTTGACCTATGCAGACCTTATTCCAGGTAAGAACATCATCATGGCATTAGTCAGAGGAGGATTTCTCTTGACTGAGACACAGATAATTCGTTTCAAAAACTGTGTTGCTCAACTTTAAATTGTTTACTTCATTTTAAACTACTTAACTGTTTACTTGTTGAGCTATTTTATATTAACATTTATGTCTGTGTTATAGGAAAAGAATCGTATTCTTAATAAGATTGTTTAAAATGAAAATGGAGCAAATATTATTTCATAATGTTAGTCCATGTTATTCTAGAATCTTTTTGAGCTGCGTTATATATTAAATATTACTAGGGACCTCAGGTACTGTATTTTGCAATGTGTGGCGCTGCTAATCCAGAGACTGCCATTTGGCTGTTGCTGGGACAAAGGTGGCAGTCTGTTCTCTGCCCGGAAAGATTCACAGCCTTAGAAGCCAGTGGGAGAGTGTTGTGAATTGCAGCCAACTCCACAGCAGTGGGTTTTGCTTTGTTGCTGTTAATGGCACCTGTTTGTTTAAAGCCGTTTAAAATCTTTTTATCTTAAGTACAGTTTAGTCTTAATGAAGGAGAACTCTGGGTCCTGAAAATGTCTGTAAAATTGTTATTTAGACTGCCACGCAGTTTTCAAATAAAAATAATTTCTAAATTTTCTGAATACTCTTCTGATATAATCTGTTGCTGTTTTGCCTTATTTTTTAAAAAAATTTCTTCATTTGCATGCAAGTTTACAAGTCATAGGGGTTTTTATTCATTATTTTATAGCATCAATCACAATGTCTCATCAAACCCTTTTTGTGTATTGTCTTTCCTTCACTCATGTTTTATATTTCTCATACGCTTTATTTTCTGCCTCAGCTGTATTTATTAATTAATCAGTTTTTCTCCCTCAATTCAGATTAATCGGTTCCTAAGAATTAGAAATGGGCTCTGAGAAGAGAAGCGCGACTATGTGGCCCTTTAGTAGCTTATTACTGGCATTTGATAGAAAAGTCCTTTACCTTTCAGTTTTTAGTTTCCAATATCAAATTTAAAAATACTTGGACTAATGTTTACATAGAGAGCTCTAGTGTCCTAGTGGTAGGAGTAGCTGTGCTGCCAACTGAAGGCACATGGTTCGAATCCACCAGCTGCTTAGAGGGAGAAAGAGAGGTAGTCTCCTGATATTTACTGCCTCTGAAAAGCCGCTGGAAGGTCAGTTATGGGTCACTTTCCACCCAAGGGCAGTAACAACAATGTTTATGTACTGCGTTGAAAGGATGGTGAGATGTGGATGTGGTTGAGAGGTGAAGGGCGGCAAGAGGGACCTTCATTCTAATGAACAGAATTTGTGGGGAGAAAAAAGAATCCAAAGAGCATTCTATTGACATTATTTAAAATCCCAGGTGTGTGTGTGTGTTTGTCTGTTCTGTCGCTTCTTCAATTTTTAGAAGTTCTGTTGTACTCTGCTTTATTAATTTTGGCCAGCTCTCTTCTCTGTTTACCTGTCTTGGTTTTATCTTCCCTCTTGATCAGTGTTGCCAGAGGTTTGTCAGTATTAATAATCATTTCAAAACCCAGCTTTGGGTTGTCTGCTCTTTTTTGCTCCCACTCTGTAATGTTTTCGTTCCTTCCTGTCTAGTATTTACTGGTTTTGCTGAGTGCTAGGACGCACAGTGACCTTGTGAACGACGGATCTGAAGCCTGTGCTGGCCTGCACCATCCTCACCATCTCTTGATGTCAAGCCCACTGGGATAGTCTCTGGGTCATTCCGTCTCATTGAAGACTTCCTTGTTTTCTCTCAACCTCTGCTTTTCCTTACATGATGTCTTTCTCCAGAGACTAGTTCCTCCTGAAAATATGCACTAAGTGTGGGAGATGGAGTTTCACCATCTAAGGACCATTCTGGTTGTACCTCCTTCAAGACAGACTTGTTTCTTCTTTTGGCAGGCAGTGCATGCGATACTACTCTTTGTCACCACCACAGTTCACAGGCATCTGTTCCTCTTTGGTCTTCCTTATTCATTGTCCAGCTATCCGGTACATGGGAAGCAGTTGAAAATACCGTGGTGTATGCATACCTTGGACTTTACTGGGCTTTAGGACTTTGGAGAGGTCCCTGACAGCAGATTTCCCCAGTGCAGTACGGCTTTGCTTTGGAGTTTTTGACTGCTGCTGCCATGTGTGTAGATTGTGGTTCCAAGTAAAATGAAATCATTGACATCATCTTTTCTTCATCTATCATGAATGTTGTCTGTTGGTTCATTGGTGAGGATTTTTGTTTTCTTGTTATTGAGATGTAATCCCTATTGAAGTACTTATAGCAAGAGTCTGTAATTTAAAATTTTCTAATGCTAAGTAAAACGAGGCAGAGGAAAAGAATTCTGTTACTTTGTTTTGTTTAGTCAGATAAAGCCAATGTATTATTTCAAAATGTAATCAGTAAAATACTAGCTATTTTTTTTTACTTACTAGCTATTTATGCTCCACTTTGGTGGTTACCTGGGAGCCGTCACATTGGCTCGGCCTCTTTGTGACCCATCCTACAGCCGAGCAGGACTCAGCTGGATAGGGAGAAAACATTCCAGTTTTTATCTTTTTTATGAGATTGGGGAGATAGATGTAAGCAGATTATTGAATTTATTCCATTTTTATAGTAGCATAGGGTTAATTTGTCTTTGCTTTTGTGCATGTGTTTGCCACCTTTGCCAGATGGTGGTTCCCTTCCACATGGTGCATTATTTCTTGCACATATACTATATTTGGTATATAGCATATACCAAAGTAAGCCCACTGCTGTTGATTCCGACTCACCGTGACCCTGTAGGGAAGTGTAGCGCTTCCCCTGTACAGTCTCTGAGGCCATTACCTGCCACATACTTCTCCCCCAGAGGAGGTGGTGGGCGCAGACTACTGACTGTTGGGTTAGCAGCCAGGTGTGTGCCCGTTGGACCAACAGGGCCCCTTGTCTACCATATGGTAAATTACAGTTGCTAGTCTGAATGACTTTACAGAATAATGATTTTTTAAAAAGTGAATGGGAATAACAAATAGAATAGAAGTTACCCCCCCCCCCCCAAAAAAAAAGAAGTTAATGGAGTAATCTGTGGATCTTGGTAGGACCACTTAGAGTAAGTAAACAGGACTTGATTGTATTACTTCTTTCAGCAGTAATAAAATGCCCACAGTGGATCTCATTGTTGCAAACATTAGCCATACTTTAGACAGCAGACAGAAAACTCAGGTAGCAATCTCTGCGACGTTTTATACCCCCATCACCACGAACACACTAGCACACTCTGATAAGCCTGTAACGAGATGCTAATCTATGAGATGCTCATTGGAAGATTTTCCTGTTGCTGAGCTGGAAGCCCAGTGACAGCTCTGATCACACAAGCTGTGAATGCTGAAGAACAGAGTTCTAATCCTGCCTGCACTACATGCTAACAGGGTGACCTTGGCCTCATTGTGTAATCTGCCTGAGTTTGCTTGTTTTTGCTGTTTGTAAAATGGGAATAATGATGGAGTCTATTTCATGAGGTTAATATAAAAAAAAAATAAATGACATAATGTATGTGAAATGGTTAAAATAATGCCAGAGGTCCAATACATGGTGCTTTTTGGTAGCTGTAAGCCTTTGCTTTGTATTGCGTTACTTCATCTGCTTTCCTGCATTAACCTTATTTAGGTTTTAATCGTGTTCCTTCCTTCACTGCGGTCATTACATGATAGATGTTCAAGTCCTGTGAGCTTTGGTCTGTTGCTGTGTGCTTTCAGTCCTGGAGGAACCCTGTGTGAGGCTAGATCTGCCCATAGAGTTGGCTGGAATGTGAGCTTCTGCAACTAAGGCAGCTTTGAGGATGTTGTTGACTCTATGATGGGTTTGCTGCGTTTGCCATGGTGATTGTTTTTAGGTTTTATCACCAAATGAATGCCGTAGAAAAGTTGATTTTACAGATTCAGGATCACCTAAAAGTTGTGGTTTACCTGCGGTGTTGCTTGCTTCTTACTGTCATGTTTTCTGCTTGTACCAGGTGTCATGAATTAAGTGGATACGAATTTAACAAAACATTTTCTATTTCGAACGGTGTGACCATTGAGAATCAGGTCAGGGATCAATATTTAAAGCAGAGCAGTGGCCAGCTGAGATTGACATTTTAAAGCTGTGATTAAAATAGCAAGATATTCTTCATATTATAGACCATTGAATTTCAACACTGGAGAAGATTGTTAAGTGTAGCCTCAAAATAATTCCCAAAAAGCTGTTAAAAAGTACCAGGATCCTTTTATTTTAATAATCGAAGGCATTTAAATTGTGTTATTGCTAGCCTCAGGGTGGTTTTGCTGTTTAATTAAAAACAACCCCACATATTCATGATTAAACTCTCCTACAGTCCAGAAAGATATAAAAGGTAGACTTAATCTTCTTGCTATCATTCTCACGAAGGGATTAAGAGGTCTTTGGCTACCCCTTCTGCTGAGTCTAAACTAGAATGCCTAAGGAGTGATGAGAAAACCACTGAAAAAATTCTTTTTTTTCTTTTCATTTTTATTCTTATTAAAATTATAATACATATTAACACAAAAATCAAACCAAGTTTTAAAAAAAAAAATATGCAGACAACCATTACCAGTATTTCTTTCCAAACTTTTTTTAACTGAACTATCAGATGGATATGCAAAAATAAGGATTTAATACATATGCAATACTGTTTTGCAAATCCATTAATTTTTTTATTGCATTAATATGTCAGAGTTTTACAGATGATACAGAAAATATAGGTAAATATTACTGCTAAGACTTAACCATTCAAAAAACCTTTCACCAAAACAGAAATAAAAGATAAATTCTATATATTCCTTAAAATTGTCTCCCCAAATTATGTCAATTTTGCTATACCATCAGTCTAAGAATAATGTATCATTTTCTTATGTGTTAAAAACACATGGGAAGAGTGCACCTAAATTCCAAAATCAATCTCCATAATAGTCTTATGTGTTTCCTACTGCCAAAGGGGCCCTTTAGAGTAGTGAGAGAAGATCTTCACCCTGAAACCCACAGCGTCCCTTTTCAGCAGGAAGTAGCTAAGAGAATACGCCATCCCCTTTTCCTTATGAATCAGGGAGAAGTCTCTCTCAGGGAGGAGTGATAGGGAATGGCAAAGGACACACCGACAAAGAAGATTAATCAGAACTGACTTTGACAAGCACTGTGGCATTTGGACAAGAACAAACTGGGAGGAGGGTAGAGAGAATGGTGCAGTGGTGAATGAATGGAAACCCAAAATCTCTGTAAATGTTTATGAAAATTAATAAAATATAATTATAGAAAAAAAAACCAAAAAAAAACCACATGGGAAAATATGCCAAAGTATGGCTTGAGGCTCAATGTCAAGAACACAAAGATCCTCACTACTGGGCCAATTGGCAGCATCAGGCATCAGGATGGATGGTGAAGAAATGATAAATTCTTGTAATGAGAAAACCATTGAAAAATTCTTGTTGAATTAGAATATGATGGGGAAAAAATGGCCAGACAAAAAAATTCTTGGTTTTTCTGCACATCATTCACATAGGAAATGGTTGTCAGAGAATTAGTCTAGAATGTAGATTTAAAAACAATTAGAGCTCCTGAGACTGCAGAATGTTAAGTTCCTCCTACCCTTTACCTTTCCCCCCCTATAATCCTAACAAGCCTGGCGGGTTGTTGTCCCTCTGCGTTCACAAAGCAGCAGGGAGATAGCAGGGCCTGAGCCGACAAGCCGACATAGACTACAGAGATACAGCTAAAAAACAGTCAAGAGGATCAACATTTGAGAAGCAGACATAGGATTGTAAAAAGCCATAGCTGATACTTTCTTTTGAGGGCAGATTAAAGGTGACCATAAAAATCTGTGGTTCAATGTGACTGATTCTACTAATCAGCACCATAGTTTTTCACATATAATGGGCCCACGTAATACATACACGTAACATGCACAGTACGCACTGCAAACTAATACAGAAAGGAAATGTTCATTTAAAAAATAAAGACAGTAACCTGAATACAATTTCATTATGCAAATACAGCGTTGCTTATAAATGTTTCACTTATGTGAAACAATCAGGTAATAATAAGGCTAAATGGATGAGACTGTATTATATTTATGATATCTGTAAATGATTTCCAAAATCCTAATCAGAATTCTACTTTTGTTTTCAGTTTCACTTACTTATTTGATCATTTCAAGAGATATAATGTTGATTGCTGCTGTTTTTTATGTCAGATATCGAACTCTTCCAACACCGGTGAGTTTGTGTCAAAAAAGTGTTTTTATTATTACTTAGCATAAGAGTAAAAGGGGGGAAAAGCAAATTATTCTGTTGTATACTGAGTTTTACTTTGTGGAAACTTTCCCTACAGTCACCAACAATATTTAAAAATTAAAGCATAGTTGTCATCTTGCTAGTTGAAGGAGTATTTTCCTGTCAAACTATCTTTTTGGTTGCCAACACTTTATCACAAGGCTAGCCAGTGCCCACCTGGCAGCAAATTTAGTGTGTTTCTCTAGATCAAAGCCCTGTTGACTAATATGGATTCTCTAGAACTAGACTGAAATTAAAGGTTGCCTGAACATGGAATGATTTCTTTGCAAATATTGCTTTACAAATATTTGAGCACATAAACATAATAACTTCATCTTTTGGTTTCCAAATTAATGAAACTAGAGAGATACCAATATTTCAGTTTTTAATCTTTTATAAAAATAGTAGTAGGTGAGTTTATTTAGTAAAAATATGTGATCAAACACACTTTATGAAATCTGTTTGCTGTTAACATAGGAATTGAGAAATAAGCCTGTATACTTTAAAATGATTCTCACTAACCATGGAAGGGAAGATTTTTGTAACAGTTACATTTTCTATAACACAATAATGAAGATTCACATAAAGAACTGGAGTAGTTTGTTGTGTGCCCTCTAGTTGATCCCCGCCCCAGAGAGTCTGCCTGGCTTGGGGTCCTGCCTACCTAAGGTCCTGCCTAGCCCGGGGTCTGCCTAGCCCCAGGGTCCTGCCTAGCCTGTCATCTTTAAAGAGAAGCCAGGGACAAATGCCTGGCCTCAGAGTGTGACCTTAACCACTGTACCACCAGCAGTTCTTTTACCTAGTGTGGACCTAGGTATAGAACTAGCAAGTAACTCTTACCTACAAGTAATAACAAATTGGTTGCCTTAAAACTAATAGTAAAAGATGGTTTGTTTTTTCTGTCCTCTGTCAGAGAACACTTTCTAAATATTTTAATCCTTGCTATGCCACCGCCAGATTAAAACCAACATTCATCAGCAAGGTAAGAACTACAATGTGTGTTGGGGGGTGGCAGTGGGGAGAGTGCATGTGTGTGTGTGTGTGTGTGTGTGTGTGTGTGCGCGCGCGCGCATATGTGCATGTGTGTGTGCCCATGTGCACACGTGCATGTATGTGTATTATGATGAATATGAATTCCAGTCTGGAGCAGTTGAACAAGAGACAGATTATTTCAGTACTTTGTAGAAGATGGCAAATGGGATCATGGAAGCAATTTTAACTAAAGCTTTTTGGAACTTTAGCATGTGTGTTGTATTTTGAAAGGTTTGTATTTTGTGGTTTGAGAGATTACATCTGTGACTAAGATAACAGCAACTGATTGGAGACAGTGAAGGGAGAGTATTGCTTCTTGATTGATGTATACATACATATGTGGGATAAAAGACTTTATGAAGATCCCCTCCTGCCTTTACAACCTTTCCCTCTGGGAAAACACTCATAAGATAGTTTCTTTCTTTCTTTTTTTTTTTTAAGAAAAAACCCCAAGATTGGTTAGATTTTCATAACAGACTATGAATGAATGGGTCAGGACTGGTATTTTCATTTTCAAGAGTGATTGTTGGACTTGTAAAGGGAAAGGAGAAAGTTTTACTCACGGTGGCTATACGTGTGAACCTTACCTGATTGGCTACATCTTTGGAAAAAGTCATCGGGAAACTCAATCTCAGCAGTCAGAACCAGGCCACGTGCTAACCATGGGCCAGACCACCAGATATTCATGTGCAAGTTCAAACACACTGAAGAAAATGAAAACAGATTTGGAAGAAGTGAATAGGATCCTGAGTCTGTCCCACCTGACTTTAAAAAAGCATCTCAAAAACAGATTCTAGGCATTAAACACTGCTGATCGAAGACAAGGTAATAAGCTGTGGGATCACATCAAGGATCTCATCTATGAAGAAAGCGGAGGGTCATTATAAAGATAGGGGAAAAGGAAAAGACCAAAATAGATGTCTAAAGAGACTCTGAAAATTGCATTAGAGTGTTGAGAAGGCAAAACAAAGGGAAGAAATGACGAAGTAAAGGAGTTCAACAGAAGATTTCTAAGGACAGCTTTAGAAGACAAAAAAAATTATTATGACAGAATATGCAAAGAGCTGGAATCATAAAATCAAAAGAAGAACTAGTTAGGCATTTCTTAGTCTTAAGAAGACTGAAGAATCAATCCAGGCCTTGACTTCCAAAACTGGAATCATAAAATCAAAAGAAGAACTAGTTCGGCATTTCTCAGTCTTAAGAAGACTGAAGAATCAATCCAGGCCTTGACTTCCAAAACTGAAAGATGCTATGGGTAAAATTTTAAATGATCCAGGAAGTATCAAAAGAAGATGGAAAGAATACACTGAGTCACTGTACCAAAAAGAATTGGCTGTTAACATTTCAAGAAATCACATATGATTAGGAACCAGTGGTAATGGAGGAGGAAGGTGAAGCTGCCCTAAAGGCATTGACAAAACCTTAGACCCGAGGAATTGATGGAATACCAACTGACATCTTCCAACAAGCATATGCAGCACTGTACGTACACACCAGGCTGTGCCAGGAAATCTGGAAGCATTCCATATTTGTTCCCATGCCTAAGAAAAGGTGAGCCAGCACAGTGTGGAAACTATCCCACACAGTATCATTGATACCTCATACAAGCAAAATCTTGGTGAAGATTGTTAAGAAAAGTCTAGAACAGTACATTGACAGAACTGCTCCAAATCCCAGCTGGATTTAGAAGATGTCAGGGCACCAAGGATATCATTGCCGATGTCAAATGGATATTGGTGGAAAGTAGAGAATACCAGAAGGATAACCATCTGTGTTTTATGGACTATGCAAAGGTAGTTGACTGTGTGGACCACCACAAATTACAGCTACCATTGAGAAGAGTGGGAATCCCAAATCAGTTACTGTGCTCATACCAAACCAGTACTTAAACAAGAAGCCGTTATCCAGACAGAGCAAGAGAACACTGTGTGGTTTAAAATCAAGAAAGATGTGTGCCAGGGTTATATTGTTTCTCCATGCCTAGTCAATCTATATGCTGAACAAATCACACCAGAAGCTAGACTTTATGAAGAAGAAGGTGGCCTTAGGATCAGAAGACTTCTCAATGAGCCTGCATTATGTAGATGACACAGATTTGCTTGCTGAAAGTGAGGAGGACTTGAAGTATTTGCTACAGAAGGTCAAAGAATGCAGCCTTCGATAAGAACTACATCTCACCATCAAGAGAACAAAAATCACTGGGCCAATAAGTAACATTATGATAGGTAGAGAGAAGATTGAAGTTGTCAACTACTTCATCTTATTTGGATCCACAATCAAGATCCTTGAGAGCAGCAATTGGGAAATCACAAGATGAGTTACGCTGGGAAGATCAGCTGTAGGTACATCAGTTTAAAGTGTGCCTGATCCAAGCCATATCTTTTTTTTAAAAGTTATTTATTTTAATGAAAATTTACACAGAGGCTTTGGATTTCCATTCATTCATTGTTGCACACTTTCCTCCCTGCTCAGAACACCCCCTCCCTCCCCAAATAAATTCTTTTATTGTTATACAGTCTCCACCCCAAGTCCACTCTATTATGCAGCCTTTGTTCTGGGCTCCTGTCATGACAATAATACCTAATCACATATCCCTTTTAAACAGTTCTCTCCTTTATCTGTTTCAATGCAGTATACATAATTTATCCCATCTTTCTCAGTCTCCCTCCAACCCCAATATCAGTCCCATTTTACAACAGTAGCACTGTGCAGTATTTGTCCTTTTGTGACTGAGATATTTCATCCAGCATAATGTCCTCCAGGGTCAATAATATTTCATGAGTTCCTTTTCAATACAGCATAGTATTTCATTGTGTGAATATATAACAGCTTCTCTATCCATTCGTCTGTTGATGGGCACTTAGGTTGTTTCCAACTCCTTGCTATTATGAACAAAGCTGCGATAAACATGGGTGTGCATATATCTGCTTGGGTGGCAGTTATGGTTTCCTTGGGTATATTCCCAGTAGTGGAATTGCTGGGTTAAATGGTTCTTTGCAACTTTTTGAGAAAGTGCCATACTGCCTTCTATAGTGGTTGCACCATTTTACACTCCCACCAACAGTGAATAAGAGTTCCAGTTTCTCCACAACCTTGCCAGCATTTGTTATTTGCTGTTCTGTTAAATTTTGCTATTTTTACTGGAGTGAGATGATATATCATAGTTGTCTTGAAGCCATATCTTTTGCTTGCTATACATCTGAAAGTTGGACAGTGAGTAAGGATGACAGAAGAATAATCAAAGCTTTTGAGTTGTGTTGGAGAAGAAAACAGGTCAACAGAACAGTCTATGAACTTTCAGGAGAACAAACTTACCTATCTTGTAGAAAATTAAACCATTGAATGATAGTAATTTTTTTTTTTAAAAAAAGTTAAACTAGGGTGTTCCTTTGAGAGAAGGATGGTGAAACTTCATCTCTATTTTGGGCATGTTTTTAAGAGTCGCCCATCTTTGCAGTGGGACACCTTTGGAAAGGTAGAGGGGCCGGTATGAGAGTGGATGCCCTCGACAAGGTGGATTGGCACAGTGACTGCAGCAGTGGGCTCTCGTATGTCAGAGATGATAAGGATGGCATGTTGTTATGTGCCGTTAAGTCACTTGTAAGTCATAGCAACTCTATGTACAAGAGCCCTGCTCTATCCTAGGCCAACCTCATTGTCTCCGATATACCTGCTCCCACTACCCCAATCACTGGGTCAAGTGCTTTTATCGCGCCTCAGGTGGACTGTTATATACATGCATGGGTTTTTCTGGCCTCAAATGACTTGTACAGCTGTTTGAGTGCTGTTGATGTTGAGTACTGTCGAGTTGGAACTGACCCGTAGCTGACACTAGTGGGTTTTCAGAGGCAGTTTAATCGCACGGGAGGAGATTGCCCATTCTTCTCCCACAGAGCAGTTGGTGTATTTGAACTGCGTGCATTTAGGATTGCAGTGCCGTTTCTTACCAGTAGGCCACCAGAGCTCCCAGTGTAAGTGTATCACTACATAATAAGTGGTATAAAAATGTGCAGAGACTTGCTTATTTGCTTTTGAAAATTAAATGGATACCTTGTCGTTTGGCTGCAGGACATAAGGAGCAGAGGGAGCTTTCCGTGGATTCTGGTTTTTTGTCCTTCCTTTTCAGCACAGGGCCACCTGTTAGGCCATAGAGACTGCATTGCCTCCTCTAGAAAGCCTCTTTCAGGAAGAGGAGTGCATTTCCGTTTTCTAACCTTACTGAGTTTGCTGTGCGGACGCACGAAAGGATATACATGGAGGAGGTCGTGGGCAGTCTCGGTTTTGGGTTTGGCTCTGTAATCTGCAGATAAGTTACTTGGTACCTTCTCACCTATGAAGAGGCAGCTTAGCTGTCTTCATATTCTAATGGACAGTTGGGGGCAAAGAAATTGCAAAAAAATTTGTAGCATCATTGAATTGCTGTACAGATAGTGATGTGTTCTGTGAGCAGCTGTGAAGACAGACAGGCCTGTGAGTGAAGTTGCCCCATTAAGTATACGGAGGATATAGCACTTTTAAGCGTGCTGGGTTAACTCTTTTTGTCTCACAGGAATGCAGTAGGATATAGCTGGCATTACTTTGTATTATCTATCGATCTATCTCTATCTCTATCTATCTCTATATATCTATTTTTTTTTCTCCACACCTTCCCCAGGTAAACACAGCAGTCCAGTTAATCTTGGTGGCAGCTTCTCTGGCAGCTCCAGTTTTCAACTATGCTGACAGCATATATCTTCAGATATTGTGGTAAGCTAAATTTAGAAGTCCTCTTTGAGAATGTCAGCAAAATGGCATATTGTGACAAGCCTCTGATAACTTTGTTTTTTTTTTATGGTGTTTCCTGAGCACCGACTGGTTAGAGCTGTGGGCTGTATTTTCTGACTGGGTCCTCAAGAAGTTTACCACAAATCCTGTTTAGTAACTTTGTGCACCTTGAAAAGCTGAGAGGTCCCGGTAATGTGTTGAGGTTTCTGAAAAGGAAAAAAAATACTTGTAGGTTTCTTGTAGGGAAGACAAGGCTTTAGCGAGGTAGGGGCGTCTGAGGCTTGTGGTCTAGGTCAAGTTCCTGGAGGGGACGTCACGTCAAGTGAGGGCTGAGATGCAAAGTGGTGGTGTGGGTAAGTATGCTCAGCCACTTGACTGCAGACTGCTGTTAGTGAAAGGGTAAGAGTGGCAGGGAAACTTGGAGAAAGATGTTTTAACACTTTCTTGCTTGGTACAGGATAGGCCAAAGAATTATTGGCTAATCAAGGTTAGTTAAGCAAAGAATCTTTAAAAATGCTAAACATTTGATTTTATTGGGGAATTTCAAAGAAAAGCAAGAAGGCTTGTTCTGTTAATTCTCTTAAGGGCAAATTAGTAAAGAAGTTGAAAGGTTTTAAAAATGATCCCAAGATATTATGGTTCTCAAAATCTGCATGAATTAGAGTCTAATTAACCTTGGCATACGGCAATCACTTACCATCCTCCTCTTTTCTGAGTGTTTGCATACAGAATTGTGTGTGTTTCACACTTGCCTTCCCCAACAGCCACTCTTAACTGAGCAGTGTGGGTCAGTGGAAAGGAGCATGTGGGCATTTGAATGAGGCTGAGCCACACACAGACCCCGTACTCCATTTCCTCCTCTATTAAATGAGCTTGTGGGATTAAAACAAGGACATGAGACACTTGGAATACTATGTGATTAAAATGGCATAACTAGTGTTACTCTCTTTCAGGGGATCATAAGCTAGATTTTATTTGATACTACTAATTCAAAAGGAGTAATTTTCACTGGATTTTGGACTTACCAGCTAAATTTTGTTCCCCATCCCCTTTCCATAAAAGGTGTTTTACAGCATTCACCACGGCTGCCTCAGCTTACAGCTACTATCATTATGGTCGGAAAACTGTTCAGGTGATAAAAGACAGATGAAAGTCATCCATCACCATTCGGAGGAAGCAGTATCTATACTTCATTGGCACTGGGCCATTTGGAAATCTGCAGGAACATTTCCATTTCGGTGTTCAGTGTGAAAAAGGACTTTTCAGAACCAACCATGTCATTGAAATTGAAGTAGTGTGCAGTGCAAATAAGCTTGATCATGGGTATATGTGGAATTTCCAGTGTATTTTTAAATACAAATAAAACTATAGAATTTTTTATCTTAGGTTTCTTGATTAATTTAAAAGCTATCAACTATTCCAGTTATTGTCAATCACTTTTTAAGACATTAAAGAAACAGAATTTTCCAGAGCATGAAAACCTGAGTGGACACATTCTTTAAGTAGAGTTTACTTATTCACAGAACACTAAGATACTTTCTGGGTTTAAAAAAATATATATCCCATTCAGCTTGACTAAAAATTTTATTTGATTTTTAAATCTTCCCACATCAGTTCATGTGGTTAATACTTGATTATATAGAATATTGGGGAAGGGGGTAATAAAGGTAACTGTGGATGAAATAAAGTTGTATGGAAATTTAGAATGTATTAAACTGTGAAATAATTAATAAGATACAAGGTAGAACGATTGAAGTTCATGCTCAGTAAAGACTTCCCACTTCTCAGGTGCTTATCTATGAAGCTAACAGGTAACAGCAGTGGTTGGAATATGAGAACCTGTCGTTACCTTTGGCCATCCGGGAGGCAGGGACCTGCATCGTGTCTCCCACCATTTCTGTCATAGCAACGTTTGTATAATACTTGGAACCCGTATTCATGTGATATGTAAATAATATGAAACTGTATATTTTTCAAAGATTTTTAAAAATTTTGAGGTATCTTTTTTTTCTTTTTTGTTAAAATACTAAAGGAATAAAAAGAGCTGGAAATAACTTGTTTCCTTGATGCTAAACAAAGCTTTATTTTCTCTGTACGTGTAACTTCTCTTACTGCACACATGCCATGATGGAGTTCACCACTATTGGTTAAGTCACTTATCTTAATGACGTGACACTGGTTATAGTCATACTGAAGGTTTCACCTTTTTTTTTTTAAAAAAAACCATTTTCTTTGAGGATAATTTATTGTAATCTGCTTGTTTTTGTAACATCTATGGATGCAACTTACAGTAATCAGTATGAGGTCAAGTTGGTTTATTGTGTGAGCATCTTTGTTCGTTTATTGTCTTGAGCATCTTTGTTGAGTTTTTTCTGGTAGTTCTTTCTTTTCTTGAGAGTGGTGTATTGAAGTCTCCAACTACTATAGTATTGTTGAACTTAATAGTAATCAAAGAAACAAGTTTTTAGAAAAGATCTCACACATTTCTTTTGTTTCAAGACTTTAGTCTTTTCTGTTTTTTGTAGTATAGAGAGATAAGATGTGTAGTGGTAGTTTTATTGACCATCAGCCATTTTTGGTGTTTAATGTTTACTTCATGTCTGTTACCTATTTTTACTGTTGTCTTCACAGATAACCTAAAAAGAAGCTGTGATCCTTATTTTACAGATGTGGAAACTGAAGCTTAGAGATTCAGAAATTCCCTTCAGATCACAAATGTGGTCCACACTCTTTAACTCTTTCAAGCACTATGCTATGTTACTACGACTGGAAAGGTTTATTCCTGACATCTTGGAAAGAATTGTAGAAATGTTTATAGTACATGAAAGCTGTGTTAGGAATGTTTAAATCTGCGTAGTGCACGAAACCCCTCCACTGATAAGGATAGCATTTGAAAGGTACAGAGGACTCTCATATATATTCTCTTACTCTGGCCTTCACACTGATTCTGGACAAAACCCAGTGTTTAATAGTTGAACTTCCAAAAAGATTCTTTTCATTCCTTTTGTTTTAATATAAGGGACAGACTTCACTGACGACTTCCTTAGTGACTTTAGTCCTTTTTAGTCCTCTGGACTCGCTAGCGAGTCAACACCTCTGGTGTTGAGGTCATGTTCAGGCCATTTCAGATCCCCAGCTCTGCTGTCTGTGCTAAATTTGTTAGTATTAAGAGGCAGGATAGTGTCATTGTCTTAGTGTAGCCAATCCATACAGAAGTCTAACTTTCACCTTAAATCATAATTCTTTAGTCTTTTTTTAAAAAAACCGTCCATCGGCAGCATATTTTTAGTTACATAAATGCCACAGAACATTCAGTATTTTGTTAACATGGAATAATGTTAAAATTGTTTTGCAGCCTCGTTCTTAATGAGCTGATTAGATATTTTGGTGATGTAGCCTGTACGGAATGGCACCACTATCCTACAGGCCTTAATTACGTCCCTCTGACTGTTCATATCTCCCAGTTGCCCCACAGGAGAAAGATGGGCGGCCTCCTGTTAGTGCACAGCCTTGGGAATCCAGTGGAGGGCCAGCTGTGAGTCAGTTCCACCTCAACAGCAGTGAGGGAGGTAACTAGATGATGTGACAGTGTTGACACATTCTGTTTCATGATCATGTGTGCGTATGTATGGTGAGTATAGGCACAGGGGATTGTCATAGAACAGAGTCGTGCCGTGAACAAGGCAAGTCCCTTTAAACTCCCGAGTCCAGAGTGTGGCTTCAGCTTGTACCTCTCTAATCTTGACAGCTTTAAAGTGGGGGCGAATGATCCCCCAGGCCTCATAAGCCCAAACTAGATGTGGAACTTGTTCTCTTGTTGTTTAAACTTTCACTGCTTAACCTCAGCAATACAGTCCTTAAACAGGAGCTGAATGTAATTGTCACATTATCCAGTTTCCTCAGATGAAAGTGCTTAGTAGTTTTAGAGAAGCTTTTAAAGAAAGAATAATTTCTAGCAAGTTGCTTAGAGGATGTTCTTACCTATAAGAGTGATAGAAATTTTTTAACTTGGTTAAAAATCTTCTTGAAAGACAAGAAATAGCACAAAACATGAGCTATAATCTGGAATAAGAGGTCCACTGTGGAGTGGGCTTAAAGAGGCGGGAGGGGAAGAAAATGTGCAACAATTTAAAATGAAACATTATGTTAAAAAAAACACAAGAAGTATTAAATTTATGTTTTAAACATAAAAAAAGCCAAAACAAAACATGAGCTATGTTACCCTGAGAAGTTACAGCAACCCTCAGAGCTCGGAGGCTGGCATCCTTCGGTCAGGTGCCCTCTGTTGTCTGCTGGTCCCACCCTCTTTTTCCAGACTAGTAGTAGAGCTGCACTTGGCTGGGAACATTACGGAAGCTGCAGCCAGTGACCCTGCCAATCACTCTGAGGAGAAACAAGAGTGGCTTTTGCCCGCCAAGTGTGCCCCCTCTAGGCCTCAGCCAGGGTGGTGCTGAGAAAGGAGGCGAAGACACAGAGTCTACACAGCAAAAATGTTCTAAGAAGCAGTGAACTGCTGTGGGAGAAGTTGGAACTTTGGCCTTCAATCCTTACATTCAGTATATTGCTGCTGTGCAAGCAGCACTGGGGGGATGCAGTAGTTAAGCATTAGCTGCTCACTGAAGACGTGGCTGGAACCCGTCAGCTGCTCTGGGAGGAAGACAGGGTGGTCTGCATCCACAGATTACAGCCTGGGAACCCCGAGGGGGCTGTGCCGCCTATCTGGTTGGAATCAGCTCCGTGGCATCAGTTTTTAACAAGGCAGTTGGTTAGAGTGGCTTGTGGGTCAGACGGATCTCTAAGTATTAAAGTCTTATTATTAGATCAGTTAGACTGATCTCTAAGTATTAAATTCTTAATCAGACTTGCAGCTAATATTGTTTCTACTTTTACTACTGGAAAAGATCTGAATTTCTTCCTCAGCTTTTTGGATACTGAATGATTGTACATGAAGTTCTGCTGGCTGACAAAACAGTTGGGGCTGTATTGGTTACTTAAATGTATGTTTATACAAATACACTCAAGGTCATAGAAATTAATTTTGGGGGTTCCACATAATAGACTCAAATTTTGATAGTAGAGGCAGGAAAAGGCATTCAGATAGTTTAACGACACATCTAAAGACTACACTGATGAGTCACTTTTGTAGAGAGCTCTGGTGGCTTAGTAACAAGAAGCTGAGCTGCAATTCTCCACCAGCTGCTCCAGGGGAGAAGGTTGGGCAATCTCCCATGCGATTAGCTGCCTCTGAAAGAAAACCCGCTGGAGGATCAACTGTGGGTTGGTTCTGACTCGATGTACACAACAAGAAGTCTTTTTCTTTTTTGTTACTGGCTTGTCATTCTTTATCAGGAGTTGGCAGAGATTTTTAACTCGCTCAGACCATCTTGGAAGCCCAGGGGAGCAGTGGTTAAAGCACTCAGTTGCCAGCCACACTGTTTGAATCCACCAGCTGCTCCGCAGGAGAAGGATGGGGCATCTGTTTCTGTAAAGATTTGTAGCCTTGGAAGTTAATGAGATGGTTCTGCTCTGCCCTACAAGGTGGCTGCAAGTCAGAACTCACCTGATGACAGTGGGTGTGTTGAGTCCAGTTCTTGTTTCAAAAATAAACTTAGGGACCCACCTACAAATGTGAGAACCTCTTTTACTCAGATGATTCTGTTAATAGGGTCAAATTTAGATATTCATGATTTTTGTGAAGTTCAACATGTTGTTGTTGTTGTTATGTGCTGTCGAGTCGTTTGCGACTCATAGCGACCCTATGTACAACAGCCCTAAACCCTGCTGTGCCAATCTCATTGCCTCTGACACACCCATCCCTATTACCCCAGTCTCTGAATCAATCCACCTCATAGAGAGTCTTCCCCTCCTGCACTGTCCCTCCACTCTGCCCAGCATGATGTCCCTCTCTAAAGACCTGTCTCTACAACATGTCCAAAGTATGTCAGACGAAGCCCCAGAATCCTTGCCTCCAAGGAGCAGCCTGGTTTAACCCTCTCTAGGATGAATCTGTTTGTTTTCTTTGCAGTCCATGGTACATTTTAACAGAAATGAAGGCTAATAGAAAATTTAAACCTAGAAACATGGTCCTCACAATTTTAAAAAAACCATTTCTAAAGTTTGTGTGGAGGTGAAAAAGTAAAAGAGTAAGACCGCGGACTAACAAATATTAAGGCGCTGTGATGTAACTGAGAGCAGAGAAATAAGCCTTTGTTCTAAGAAGCCAGAGGCTTGAGGTTCTGTTTGGCAATTTTTTCCCCTCTTTAAAAAAATTTTTTTTTCAAGTGTATTATGCTTCCTAAGTAAAATGAGTTCATAGTTCTTTGTCCAGTTAGTAAAAATGCAACAAACATTGGCATTTAAAAAGGACAGTCTTGTTTCTCATAAATGAAGTTCCCAAGAAACTATGGTTTAGCAGGGTACCTTTCGTGTCTTGTTTTAAGATGCAGTGAGTAAACGCAGCACCACTCAGGGAATCCAACCTCAAGTGCTTCTCCCTCCTCAATTTCAAGCAGCCACTGGATTTTTTCTTTTTCTTCTAATAACATGTTCATTGTACCTTAGGCAGAACTGGCTCCATGCAAGGATGTGCTGGTGGCAGAGTTGTTCTGCTAACCCAAAAGCCATGCCGAGATTCTAACCCACCAGTGTTTCCAAGGGACAAAGATAGGCTCCTCCCATGCCATCTACAGCCTCCGAAACCCAGTGGCGATCAGCTGAGTCAGTTCAGATTTCACAGCATTGCGTGATTGCATCAAATACTTAGGGAAAATGGAACCCTGGAATGAAAGTCTGAGAGGCACAGAGGGCAGGCTGACTCGGACTTTCTGCTTCTGGAGGACAGTGACGTTGAAGAAGGTGGTCTGTGAAACCCGTGTGTGTTTCCAGGAGCGCTCTTGAGGGATATGTCTTGGAAAAGGTGCAACCAGAGTGCTCCTCGGAAACAGGGATAGTGAAGTTTCACCTCATACTTTGGGCATGTTGGTAGGAGAGTCCATTCCTTGGAAAGGGACAACATGCTTGGAAAACTGGAGTGCCAGCGAAAGAGAGGAAAAGCCCCCCCCCCCCCCCCCCCCCCCCCCCCCCCGTGAGGTGGATTGACGTGGTGACTGCAGCAATGGGCTGGTGTTCAGAGATGATGAAGGCACAGGATAGGGCAGGATTCAGGTCTGTGGTCCCCGTCTGTATGAGTCATCCCACTCAATGGCGCCTAACAACAACAGCGACATTCAGGGCCCGACGGGGACCACTACCCCTCTGCACTCTGGCAGCAAGTCCCTTAAGTTTACGAATCCACGAAGAGGACGGCCGTCGGCGGCATTGAAAGCCCCCATCCACGGTGGTTACTAGTTGACGGTCCTGGGCGGGCAGTCAAAGGTGGGGTTTTTGTAGGCCACGAGGTGCGTGGGGTGCTGGCCCTCGGGGGGTTGGCGGGCGCGCAGGCAGAGGCAGACGGCCAGCACCAGGGTGCTGAGGAGCAGCACGCCGCAGCCCGCGCCCAGCGCCGTCAGCAGCAGCGCCGGGCTGGGCCTGGTGGTGAAGGCGGCGCACGGGCGCCTCCACTCGTTGCCGCGCAGTGCGCTCTGGCCCGCGCGGTTGGCCGCCAGGACGCACACGCGGTAGGTGGTGGCGGGCGCCAGTTCCGACAGGCGGAGCTGCCGCGCGATGGCGTGCACGGGCCCCAGCAGCGCTGGGGCCCCCGCCTGGCCCTCCGGATAGTAGCGGATCTGGTACTCGTGCACCACCGAGTTGGGCCCGCACCAGTGGACGATGGCCGATGTGTCCGTAACCTCCGACACTGCCTGGAGGCTGGGCGGATCGGGGACGGTGTCCTCCCCGCTGAGGCCGGGGCATCTGCACCGCCTGCGCCTCTGCAGCTCCGCGCACGGGATCTGAAGGTGCCTACAGGGATGATAGTCACATTCGGCGTCCTGGGGATGAGTCCTCGCCGCCTGCGCCTCCTCCCCTTCTTCCTCGCTGTAGTCGTCCAATAGGATGATGGGGATCCCGCCCGTAGAGGGGCTCGGCTGCGGGGCCTCGGCTGTACCCAGGCTGGGCTCAGACGGGCTCACTGGGTAAGAACGAATGAATGTCTTGGGGGCGACCGAGGTGACGAGCGGCGCCGCGTCCTGCGCTCGGAGCTCTGGCCCGGCTGTGCGCGGGAGGGAGCTGCAGTTGTGACCAGCGCTAGAGCCGGCGGTGGAGTGGGCAGCTCTCTCCAGGGCGCTGCTGTGGGGCTCTGAGGCTGGTGTGGTGTGGTTCCTGTCCAGGGAGGGCGCCTTGGTGACACTCTGTCTTCCTGCCCGGGAGTGAGAGGAAGGGACTGTGTTGGTGCTAGTGGGTTGAATCCCAGGCGAAGTCACATTCTGGGAGGGCTGGGTTGAAGTAACAAAGGTGTCGGTTTGGATAGACTGGCACATATCTGGCAGCTGGGCGAGAGAAAGAGGAGCCGGGAAGACCAGACTGGAGTCAGCATCTGGTGCGCACATGGTGTCTCCCGCCCTGGAACGGAGGCAAACCTGTTAGAAGGTATTTGGGCCCAGGGCTACTTCTGTACTTCAGTCTGGACATCTTTTCTCTCCTTTGCCACCATGCCCCTGCCAGGTTCCACACGCTGCACACTCCAAAGTCCTCACCTCAGTGCCCACTCTCCTCATCTGGTCATCACGCTACTGGGCAGAAGGCAGCTAAGAGAAACTATGTCCTCAGGGTCTAATGAAAACTGTCAGAGCTTAAACGCAGGCAGTGTGCCCGGCCAGGCAGGAGTCCAGAGTCTCAAGAGCAGCTGTCTATTCCATTCTTGTAGAACGTAGATGAGGATTCAGAGCGGGAGGGGGGAGCAGAGGGGTGAGGATGGGCAGGGGTGTGTGTGTGGTTAATCATAGAGTCGCACAAATTGATGGGTGGAGGGCCTCGTGGGTAAAGGAAAGGAGAAAGATCCGGTGTGAAAAAACAATGTATACAAACTTTGTAAGTAAACCAGTATCTAATAAAAAAATTTTATTTAAAAAAGTCATTCTAAGGATAAAGAAAAAACTGAAAAGGATGTCAGAAGAGACTGAAAATTGCATTAGAAAAATAAAAAGAGCAACTTTCTATTTTGTTATCTTATTTCCTGTTACTAAATATTATCCATTCTAGTCAATCAGAGTCCTAGGAACTCTGATAGCCTAGTGGTAAGGCGTTGTACTGCCAGTCCCAAGGTACATGGTTCAAATCCACCAGCTGCTTCTGAGGAAAAAGGCAATCTCCCTGTGTGTAATTTACAGCCTCTGAAAACCTGCTGGAGGGTCACCTCAAGGAAACCTAACAACAGTCATACATTTACTCCTAACATTGACATGAGTGCTTACCACATGCTCCGGTGTGTTCACAGGTCAGTTAATTCAATCCGCATTACCTTATTATTATTACCTTATGAGGTAAAGCTGTCTTGTCTGACTGCTGACTAAAAGGGTGATGGTTAACCTGCTTTGGCTACTTGCTCACCGAATCCATTTCCTTTTCCTCCTGGGCACATTGGCTACACTCTTATGGCTAAATTGTTTTTCAAAAAGCCACATTGAATCCTAGCTTCTGTACTCGTGACTAGGACCTTGTTTGAGGAAATGGGATTTTTTCCCCCCCTCGAAGATACTGTTGTATCTTAAGTTATATCAGCGTAATTATTCCTTCTGAGCAGCTTAAGAGAATTGATAAGGGAGAAGTCCCCATGCAGAGGGAAGACAGCCAGTGAAGATCTGTCTACAAGCCCAGGAATGTTGAGAGAGAGTGAGAGAATACCCAAACACGCAGCATTGCCACAGCCCTGTGAGAAAAATGTCTGTCTTTAAAACCCCCCACTTCATGGTATGTAATTACAGCAGCTCAAGGAAACAGACTCCTACAGTCCCCGGCGGTCCCCTACAGTCAGGTGTAGCCTGTTGACTGACTTCTGGCCAATGGGATGTTATCAGCTGGTTACAGGCGCTCACCGTGTGAGTCAGGCATGCCCTCTGACTTTCAGTGTTACTGCTTCAGGCCAGTGCTGAGAGCTCACTTAGTCGTGCAAATTGTAGTGTCTCCATTTGAGCATGTTTTCAGAGGTTGTAAATCCCACGGGAGGAGGCCGCCCATCTTTCTCCTGTTTAGCAGCTCATGGATTTGAACCTCCTGCTTTGGTAGCGTGACTCCTTACCACTAGGCCACCAGAGACACATGTGGAGTGCAGATAATGCACCCACTTCCAGACGTGGTCCATTCAAACCTTTCCATTGGTTTGTTTGCGTATTTGTTTCTGTTTTGGCAAGTAACACTGTCTGTTTCACTTGTTGGTTTAATTGTCATGATGTCTTTTGAACTCTTGAAGAAGACCCCATGCATGCCCAGTGGAACTGCTCCATAGCGGTTTCACTGCTGTGACTTTTCAGAAGTAGATCATCAGTCCTGTCTCCCCAGTCACCTTGAGGTGGGTTCCAACTGCCCATCTTTCAGCTAGTAACTGAGAGCTTAGCTTTTTGCACCCCCAGGTCACCCCATTTGTAATGACTTAGAAAGTGAAAACAGTAAACCCTTCCCCACTGTTTTCCTTCACACCCTCGTCCTCTTCTGGCTGGCTGGAATGGAGGCAGAGCCTCGACCATCTGTGTCCCCGAGTATAAGTACAGGCGACAGTGTAGCCCATGTACAGCTGTCCATCCAGAATGGTTATGTGAACAAGAGAGGAGTGAGAATGCATCACCCTCTGAGGGCTGATTCTCAACTCCTCAGCTGTCTACTTTGTCAGCGTGTTACCTGTTTAGGACGATTCTCTTTGCATCTGAGAGGAGCCAGGACAATTCACAGCTACAAATGAGGGGGTTGCCGAAGAGGTTAACAGAAAGGACCTGGGAGGAATTCAGCGTCCAGGGAGGGAAGGAGCTCAAGTTGCAGCTGGAATTAAAGATAAAAAAAAAAAATAATCAAATCCTCTGGTTAGACTGCATTTCTCAGGATCTGGAAGACTTCCGCGCCTCCCCCGCCCCTCGTCTAGGAAGAACAGAAACTAACTGGTGAGACCAGATTGGCTGGGACCGCCTCGTTTTCCTGGCTCTCCCGTTTTCTGCTTTCACAGGATGCAGTCTTACTTGAGTGTTCCTTCTCTGACAGGTTTGTGCCTCACACAGACTCTGGTTTTCATGGGCTTTTACTGTACAGAGCTCTTTCAAAGGTCCGGACTCATCGAGCATCCCTGCTGGAGAAGCCTCCCTCATCCTGTCTGGTGGAGGTGGTCGTTGCCTCCACATACTCGCCTCATAACACGGCACATGGTGTGTGCCTCTGTGACTGACCCAGATAGAATGTGATAATTGGGAGATGTCTGTTGCCTATACCGAACGGTGAGTGCCCTGAAAGCAGGACATGCTGTCCTCATTGCTATCAACGTCGCCAGCGTCGTCACCACCCTCACTGTCATTACTAACACAATCATTATGATCACCATCAACATCACAGCCATCGCCACAGACACCAACATCACTATCACCAATTTACCTCATCGCCACCAACACATTCATCGCCACAACCACAACCACCACCGTCTTCACCATAATCACCACCATCACCTTCACTAATGCCCAGCATTGAGCTAATGTCCTTCTTAGACTCTCCCCCTCAAGACAAGTCCTCATGAAGTACCATTGTTCTGTGGCTGCGTTATAGATTAGAAAGGAAACTCCAGTAGCATAGTCTGTAGGGAGTTGCGCTGCTGACCCAAAGGCAACACCTTTCCAGTGGTTCGAATCCACCAGCTGCTCCAAGGATGAAAGATAGCAGTCTCCTCCCATACAATTTATAATCTCCAAAAACCCACTCGAGCTGTAAAAACCATACACACAATTCAGCTATGAGTCGGTTCCCATTCAACAGCAATGAGTAGATGAGTATAGGGAGAGATCAGACGACTTCACTAGGTTGGTTTCCACAGTTCTTGGGGTATACGTTGTGGGTTTGATAGTTATTTGTTGAATAAATGAAATCATGAGTAAATGGTTTTATCTTTGCCTTTGTTGTGGTTGTTGCCATTGAACAATGTAATCCTTGTGGTAAATCAATTCTACCTTTCATAGCTGCAGTGTGTAAAATGGAGATCATAAGACCTGCTCTTAGATTTCCCAGGAAACTTTTATTAATAACATTACTGTCACCTAACAATATTTGCAAAATATCTTACTGCTTTCGTTATACTACCTTGTTGGCCCCAGCGAGGCAAATGGGGTAGATATTATTATCACCCACTTGATAATTGAAAATATGAATGTTCCAGGGAGTTGGCCAATGCAAAATCTTATAGTAGACCTGAGATTCAAAGCTGATACCATTTCTTATATTTTACACATGGTCAAGAAGAGTTCAGCACACATCCATTTGGGCCAAAGATTCCAGTGCCAGTTAGACTGGGCCAAAATGAGAACAGCAGCAGCAGTAGAGAATCAGAGACCAACTGGGGACAGAGCTGACCTGGGTCTGCCACTCCAGAGCCAGAGGGGGCAGGGGGCCTTCACCCAAGCTAACTGGAGGACTTGGGGGAAATGCCATAATTGGCAGGCCTAAGGAAGCTATTGACATAGTGACTACAGCAACAGACTCAGGTGTGTCAGAGATTGTGAAGTTGGCAGATTTGTTGTTCATATGTTTACTATGAGTCGACTTGACTCGATGGCACCCAGCAAAAACAAGAGAGCTATTAATGCTGTCCTAAAGCCAGGAGGCTGAAGCTCAAGGGGCCTGCAAGCACGCCTGAGAAGCACTTCTGATTAAAGAACTGTATCCTGTTTTTGACCTGAATTATAACTTGTTAACTTCCCTAATAAACTCCATAATAGTGAGTACGCTTCTGTGAGTTCTGTGTGGTTGTTGCAAAGGAATATTGGACCCAGGAGCAGAGAAGCGAGAGACTGGGTTGTGTGTGTGTGTGTGTGTGTGTGTGCGCGCGCGCGCGCGCGCGCGCGCGCGTGTGCATGCGTACCTTGTGTTAGAATTAGTAGAAGTAGATTTAGGAGTATGGGGTCATGTCTGACCTCGTACAAATCAATTCTGTACTGAGGATGTTATGAATGGAGAGACTGTTTCCTCTTGGGAAGTTAGTGGAGGTCAGACCCAGTCCCACCCCCCATGTCACCTGCACTGTATTTGAAGTAAGGAGGACACGAAATGCTAGCTGCAGACGATCAAGCCTTCAATATGGATTACATCTCAACAATAAGAAAACAACTGTTTTTACCACTGGGCCAATAGGCAACATTATGATAGATGGAGAAAGGACTGAAACTGTCAATAATTTAATTTTACTTGGATCACAGTCAACACTGTTGGTACCAGGAGATCAGGAGACACATTGCTCTGGACAAGTCTGCTGTCAGGAGCCTCTCTAAAATACTGAAGAGCAATGGTAACAGTTTGAAGACTAAGGAGTGCCTGACTCAGGCCAGGGTCTTCTCAACCACCTGTTATGTATATAAGAGCTAGGCAATGGAAAGGATGACAGAAGAATTAGTGCCTTTGAGTCGTGTGTTAGAGAAGAATACTGAATATCCATGGACTGCCAAAAGAATAAATAGGAATGTCTTGGAAAAGGTGCAGCCAGAGTGCTCCTTCGAGGCAAGGATGATGATGCTTTATCTCCCATACTTTGGATATGTTGCTAGGAGAGGCTATTCCTCAGAAAGGGATATCATGCTTGGAAAGGTGTGGGATCAGTGCAAGAGAGGAAGACCCCAGTGAGACAGACTGACAGACTGCAGCACGGGCTCAAGCTGAGAGGATGAGGATGGTCCATGGGGTCATTGTGAGTTGTACTCAACTCAGTGGCACCTAACAACAACTCCCTGACAGAGATTCTGACTCATGGTGACCCTCTGGCAGGTTTCTGAGGCTGCAAGTCTTTAGGAGAGGAGACCTGCATCTTTCTCTTAGATTGTCAGGTGGGTCCAAACCACTAACTTTCCGGTGCTTAGCGGCACAAGAACACATGATTATGGAAGTCACTGGACTTACTTGACGTGAGGGAAGAGGTGAATTGAGAGAAAGAGGGAGACCTTGACCCCTTGTCCACTCTTTCCCACCACAGTTTTCCCAGCCTGGGCCTGGATACAAGAAAAATTGTAAGTGCAGAAGAATTTTAATTTCAAGTTTATACTGGACAGGTGTGAGCTGCATGGTTATTAGACCAGATGAATAATCTGGGACTTGCCCAAGACATCATCCAATGGATAAGAGAGAATGCAGTCTCAGCGAGGACTTGAAGTAACAGTAAGAGAGAAACAGAAGGTCTTGCTTGTTCTAGAAAAGTTACACAGACTTGACACAAAGCAATGGGCACAGTGCAGCCAGACCTCAGAAACACTCACTTCTGGAGGGAAAGGGCTCGGAGGCGGGGAGTGTCTTCAAAGACGTGTGTGTGAACAGCGAGGGCCCGGGAGTCTTGACAATCCAGCTGCTGCAGATTGGGAGTCAACTTGAAAACACCGTCGTCCAGCTGCTTCAGCCTGGGCATGTTCCTCAGATAGAAGGCCGTGAGATTCGGCAGATTTAGGATCCACTCCGATTGAACTGAAACACAGACACAATCACAGGAGGACAGCAAAGAAGAATAACAGGGTGGTTTGGAAAGGAGGTCACTGCTGACCATGAGTGTAGTTCACAGCGCTGGGAATTTCAGAGATGACCACCCCTTCCTCCCATCGCCGGGATGTTACAGACAAGAGGGCCAAGGCCAGAGAAGAAAATGATTTGTCCAAGATGACACAGCTAGGAAGGGACAGAAGCAAGACCCAAACCTACAAAACTTGTCTCCAAATCTTCTAGCTGCACCTTCTAGTAAGAAAACTCACAAAAATAACCCAGGCTTCTCGCTCTGAAGGCCACTGGTGTGGGGCTAATTCTAGAGGGTACAAATAAGGAGATGTTGGGTAGTGCAACCAGTTAAGCCCTAGGGTGCTCAGCAAAAGTTCCAAGGTTCAAGTTTACCCAGAGACACCATCGCATCCAGTGAGAACCCTCAGAGCACAGACCTACACAGATACATCAGAGTTAGTGTGAGGACAGTTATTTTGTTGGTTTTTTAAGTAAGAAAGAAGCAACGCTGACAGAGGTCCATATACCTGACTGTGTGACTCTTTGGATCAACAAAGCGTGAAGATTAACCTGCCTTTCCAGTGTCGTTTTCTCTCTGTGGTGGGAGAGGTGCTCACAAACATCCAAAACATCCTTACAAGCCAGAGGCCAGCCTACAGCTGTGCCTGTGTTCTTACATCTCGCCTACCTCCTGTTTAGTGATGTTAGCAGCAGTTCTGGCCAACTGAGTGGGGGGAAATTTGCAATGAATGCATCCTCATAGCCTCTGCGCCTTCATGCTCAGTGCATGTTTGGTGATTAAGTTCATCCCACTAACCAGCCCCCAAGATTGATTCGATGTTGCGTTCTACTCGCATGTCCCGGGCTCTAGAGAAGCCCCAAACTGGGGCTCGGTCCCCTCATCCCTGAGTATGAGTTTGCAGCTACCACTAAAGGGACTGTGGGACTGGGAGCAAGTCACTTTCGCAGCCTTGTTTCCCTCCACTGTAAATTAGAGAGACCTCCAGCTCCCACGTCTTGGTGGCGTTGTTTGTGATCCTTTGCGCACTTGTGCACAAACTACCTGCGGGCAAGTCTGTTGCGATTCACCAACGAGCGACCTTTGGTGTGTTTTCTTAAGCTGTCAGTTACAACCGGAAGCGGTTTTCTCTTGGGGCTAATAGTGGGTTTGAACCACTGGAGAAGCTCGGCCTTTGGGAGATCAGGGAAACTCGCTAAAGACTACACTAGCAGAATTCACTTATTGTACACTCAACAACACGCTGATGTCCAGTCGGAGATGACTCTGCAGCGGGTTTTCACAGACTGCAAATCACACAGGAGGAGATTGCTCATCTTTCTCCTGCAAGCAACTGGTGGATTCGAACTACCCGCCCTTTGATTGGCAGCTTAGCTCCTTACCCACCAGAATGACCCTGCAAGCAAGAACGCAGCCGTGGTGCTGGAGTTCAGGTCCATCGTGTCTGGGCCCCTGGGTCCCCGCAGACTCACCGCGTGTGAGGAACGTGCCGCTGAGGTCCAGGGTCTCCAGCGCCCCGAGGGCCCTGCTGTCGCGGTCGGTGAACGCGGCCGGCGCGATGGGCTCCTCGGTGTCTCTGCCCAGCGCGGTGGAGGACAGGTTGAGGAAGCGGAGCGCGGGAAAGCAAGAGAAGGCCCTGCTCCCGAGCGTGCGCAGCGGGTTCCCGGCGAGGTGCAGCTTGTGGAGGCGGCTCAGCGCGGGTCCGGAGTCGCAGCGCGGCAGCGCGGCCAGGCGGTTGTGGCTGAGGTCCAGCGTGTGCAGCCCCTCAGGACCGCCGGACCCCCAGCGCAGCTCGGCGATGCGGTTGTGGCTCAGTGTCAGCACCTGCAGCTGCGGCAGCGCGCCGAGCTCGCGCATGCTCAGGACGCTCAGCAGGTTGTGGCTGCCGTCGAGGCTGCGCAGAGCGCGGGGCAGGCAGCCGGGCAGGCGCTCCAGGCTGCGGTTGACGAGCGAGACAGAGGCGGGCGAGGCCTGGGGCAGCCCCGCGCAGGGCGAGGCCGTGGGACCGCCGCTGCCCGCCTGTGTGAGTCGGAGGAACGGGACCCTCTCCTGGAGAGGATCGGCCTGATTCGCGAGCAGCGCGGGCGACAGCAGCAGCAGCAGCAGTGGCGGCAAGGCCCAGCACATGGCGCGTGGCTGGGGAGAAAAAAAGCAGAGCGGTCCATTCATTCCTGCGGAACGCAGGGGAACATGTGGCCTTCAAGGAGGACCCTGCCCTGGTCCCCAGGCCAGCGTGTTTCCGCGCGCACTGCGACTCCGCCCTGCTGGCCTCTCACTAGCTGCAGCCGGGCTCCTCCAAACTCTAACAACCCCCTTTGCTCCCCCACAAGCTGTTTCTCTTCTCCAGTGGCCGGCCAGGGGCTCCCTCATTTGTCCAGTGTGGGCCCAAGCATCCCAGGTTGTTGTGCCATCGGGTCAGAACCAATTCATACCTGATCTCCCAGTGGCTTTTCAGAGGCAGTTAATCGCAGGAGAGGAGCTTGCCCATTCTTCTCCCATACTCTTCCCCGGAGCCTCCACTATTTACTTATTTATCCCCATCCTAGGAGCTATCTTCTCCTTACCGTTTATTCAAAACGAGCCAGTGAGCGGGGCCCTGGGAATGAAGATGTGCTGGGATCGAAAGACGGGATTTGCAGAGAGGACTTGATCAGGTTCAGCCAAAGTCTTCGTTTCCCCTTTTTACTGCCTTAGAACTGCTGGAAGTGGGGGCTGTGAACCTCATTTGCATGTAACTTGATCTTCCGTCCATGTTTAATAGACCCAGATCTGGGTTCCTTTTCTCAGGAAAGCCCTCAGAGCTGCTTCAGGAGAGGAAAGGAGCCCCCAGCCCGCTGTGAGGCTTAAGAACGTGGGATTTAGATGCGAGCGTCCCCAGGCCCAATCCGGCCCTGCAGGAATGATTAAGAAGCCCTGGGTGTGCAGTGTCTGGAAGATCCAGGATTCCGCAGCAGCTTAGGTCTGCCCTGTGACAGCAGAAGGCTTCCCTATCAGATTCCAGCCCGATGTTCGCCTATCACATCAGGTGTGTCTTCCAGCCCCCAGGCCTCCCTCCTGATTCCTTGGGAACCTAGACTTCAGGGAAAGGACCTCCCTTTTGTTAACTTGAGGGGAGGGGGAGTAGGGAGAAGACCCCAAAGACTTAAATCAGCAGTCCTGTGTGACATACTTACCCGGAAGTGATCCTCTTGCAGGGTGACACTTCGGATGCCCCTTGCTAGACTTAAATCTTGTTTATAGATTCTAAGAACCCTCGACTTAGCCAACAGCTCAGTTCTTCCAGAAAAATGCTGAAGAGGCCTGTTCCTCTGACGTCCCTCCTCCCTCCCCACCCACCGAAAGGGCTCCTCCTAGCCAAGACCCTGCTGTCTTTAGTCAGCATTCATCTTCATTGCCTAACTTCCTCATCCCTCTGTGGAGATTGCCCCCTCCAGGCCAGGCACCTCCTTCGAGCCCCCACCCCAAATCTTCTCCTCTCCTTGCACCACCTCCCCCAGGCAAGGGAAATGAAGGGAATCAGCTATCCCCATCAAAATGAGGGTGAGGGCCAGTGTGCTGCAACTGGGCAAGGCAGCATTCTCATCTCTCAGGAATCCCATCTAACCCGCCAGGTGATTTCCATTTCTGGGACTGCTTGGGAGCTGAATGTGACCAGGACAAGGACAAAGCCCTCTCCCCTGAAGCCACCCATGACTTCACAGGAAGGCTTGAAGTAACCACAGAGAAGGAGAGTGGGGCCTGGAGGAGGCTGGGATCTGGGTCTGGCTCAAACCAGCTCTGGGTATACCTAGGAGGGGTTGATTTAGTTCCTGGGGAACCCATTTCAGGGACAGCATAGGTACTTTTCTCTCCTAAGAGACAGGAATAAAGGAGCTAGAACACTTCCCCCCCTCCTCCGAGGCCCCAGGCCTCTTTGAAGATGTGATGATGTTAAAGGAGCCCTGTTTAGAGCACCAGAGTTTTCCTCCTCTAGAATCCTAAGAGCAGAGTTGGATAATTTCTGTGACAGTCTTTGATCTGCACCCACCCTCTGCCCAGCCCTACCGGAAGGTCTAAGCATCTAGCCAGGGGTTAATGACCCAGATCTGTGTGAACTCAGACCCTCAGACCTTCTCCTCCTGTCAGCCCTTATCTGCAGCCTTGACGAACCCCAGCTTTTGAGTTAATTAGATAATAGGAAGTCCCTAGGGGTCTCTTCTGAGGTCTTGCCCACCAGTGACATCATGAAGGTTAGTGTCCCCGTACATTTTCCCATGGGCCTCCTCCCATACCAGACCATTAATGCCTGTTATTGTTTTTAGATGCTGTCCAGTTGAATATGACTCAAAGTGATTCTATGAACAGTCGTCCCGAGCCCTGCCCGATCCTGTGCAATCCTCATCATCTCTGACACACTGGAGCCCATTGCTGAAGTAAGTTACTGTGTCAATCTATCTCACTAGGGGTCTTCGTCTCCTTCACTAAACCCCATCCTCCCAAGCATGATGTTCCTTTCTGGGGAATAGCCTTGCCTAGCCACATGTCCAAAGCATGAAAGATGAAGCTTCATCATTTTTGCCTCCAAGGAGCACTCTGGCTGCACCTTTGCCCATGACATATCTGTTTGTTCTTTTGGCAGTCCATGGGATGTTCAGTACTCTTCTCCAACACCATGCTTCAAAGGCAACAATTCTTCTGCCATTCTTACTCATTGTCCAGCTCTCTAATGCAGGTGATTGAGAAGACCATAGCCTGAATCAGGTGCACCTTAGTCATCAAACTGACATCATTACTCTTCATCTTCAAATTGCTTATATGCAATATTTATTAGATTCTATGAATTCTGGCAATAATACCTCTTGGTAAAATCGTTCTATACCAAATCATAACATACAGCATTATTAGTAACTCAATGGAAGTTTTAAAAAAATTTTAAATTTTATTTTATTAAATTTAATGAACATTTACAGAGATTTTGGATTTCCATTCATTTATTGTTGCACTATTTTCTCTACCCCCCTCAGTTCGTTTCTCTCTTTTGTTTCCCCCCTTGAAAGTCTCTTTTAATTGTCTCATTGCCACAGTGCTTGTCAAAACCAGTTCTGATTAATCTCCTTTGTCAGTGTGTCCTTTGCCATTCCCTATCACTCCTCCCTGAGAGAGATTTCACCCTGATTCATAAGGAAAAGGGGACAGCGTCTTCTCTTAGCTACTTCCTGCTGAAAAGGGACACTGTAGGTTTCAGGGTGAAGATCTTCTATCACTACTCTAAAGGGCCCCTTTGATAATAGGAAACACGTAGACTATTGTGGAAATTGATTTTGGAATTTAGACGCACTGTTATCAGTTGTGCTTAGCCATACATGTTCATATCCTTGAAGACGCATCATGGAACTGTTGCAGCCTAGAAGACACAAATTTAGCTAACAAGTTAAAAGTACATGAGTCAAAAATTAAAAGCAATAATATTCCAAGTCAAGGTTCTAATGGTGGCACAAATCAAGTTACAGAAGGAAGGTAGTTCTTACAATAAAAGGCTTATTGACTAGCACTTTGTCTATTATAGTATAAAGTTTAGGAACCACAAGATGTAGAGGCTCAACTATGTCATTTATTGTTCTTAAGTCCTGGACCAAATTCCATCTACCACTGGGTTGTTTTATAGCTCAGAAGTCCACCTGCAAGGCAGAGATTAAGTAAGGAACTGCTTATGAGGTTTTCCATTAATTCCAACAACTAAGAAATAGTGAGAAGAGTTGGGACCTCAGAAGGCTTTTAGGACCAAATAATAGGCTCTTGTGTCCAGGAGAAAATGAATGTACTTACCAGTAATGTTAATGCTCACCATGGCTCTTCTGGGAGGATCTGAATCGTTGAAGCATAAAAAATTTTCTAACATAAGTGAAACATGAATATCTACACATACGTGAACGGAAATGCATGCACAACAGTGAACAGCAAACAAAAACTGGACACTTTAACTTATGGTGAATGTGACCAACATGTGAACATGAGTGCATACACAAAGTCAAACACATGACGTAGAGTAGTGCTTATTTAACAATTATAGTTGTAAAATCATGTGATAAGTATCATTGTAAATAGCTAATATGCTATATTGTTTAGATTATATGAATTCGAAGCTCTGTTGGCCTAGTGGTAAGAATCTGCACAGCAATCCTGAAGACACGCAGTTTAAATGCACCAGCTGAAAGGAGGATGGGCAATCTCCTTCCATGTAATTAACTGCCTCTGAAAACCCCCTGCAGGGTTAGCTATGGGTTAGTTCTGACTCAATGGTACACAACAACAACAACACTATGGCTTGGTAAAATCTTTCCACATTGAATCATAGTGTTATTACTTACAACATTATTAGTAACTGAATGGAAGTCTTATAAAACTTTTCTACATCCTTTAGTACTTCATTCTCAACAAAGTTACTCATATAGATTTTAAGATGTCACCATTATATTATAGCTAAAAAGCCAGAAAATTTGACAAAATAAGCAACCCCCCCCCCTTTTGTTGTTATAGCTAACTACAGGGATGTTTTGACAAAAACAAAATTCCTGCTGAAATAGTGCACAAAAATTTTATAGTGATTTTTTGTGTCTTCCTCTCTGACAGTGTTACTAAGTGGGATTTAAGTCCCCTACACTCTCCCAAGGGCACACTCCTTCAAAGCTGTGGTCTTCTCAAGCCCTTACTGAGCATGTGAAAGTTAGACAATGATTAGGGAGACAGAAGACTCGAAGTCTGTGAATTGGGGTGTTAGAGAAGAGTACTAAATATCCCATGGGCTGCCAAGAGAACAAACAGATCTGTCCTATAGAAAGGAAAAAAAAACCACTGTGCTTTCTGGAGGCAAGGATGGTGAAACTTATATACTTTGGGCATGTTGTTGGGAGTGTCCCATCCCTGGAGAAGGAAATCATGCTTGGAAAGGTGGAGGGTCAGTGAAAGAGAGAAAGACCTTCAGAAAGATGAATTTACATAGTTACTCTTACAAGGTATGTTTGAGATGGTGAGGGATGGCACAGGATAGGATAGGGTTCAGATCCATTGTTGATAGGGTTGCTATGAGTCAAAGTCAAATGGATAGCACATTACAGTAACAAGCCCTTCCAATGGTAATAAACAGCTAA